TCTATCTATCTATCTATCTATCTATCTATCTATCTATCTATCTATCTCTATCTATCATATCTATCTATCCATCCATCCATCTATCTAGTTATGTCTATGTCTCTATGTATTTATAGTTATGTTTATGTAACATATATTGGAGGTGGTGACCCTTTGAGAGCTGTATGCAACGAAATTTCATTTTAATGTATGCCAATTAGTGTACATTCAAAGTGACAATAAAGTTATTCAAAGTTTTTTTTTAAACCCTCTCTGCCAACATATTACTTAAGTATAGCTTGGATTGTGGGAGGGTGTTGGGATTGAAATTGGTGTGGGCTCCTGTGATTGAATTTCTTAGTTTGCAGTTTCCTGGATATCCAGACCAAAAAAAAAAAAATGATATGGAAAAGGAAAGTAACTAATTCCCCAAGATCCGTTTCCACCTTCTCCCTTTTGGTGCCCAAGCAGGGAGACGACCTGGGATTGCCAGAGGACAAGGAACAAAATCCTTGTGAACAGAACAGGCTAATGAAGTTGTAACACTTTGTTCTGCGATCTATGCTTTAAAAAGTCTTGTATTATAGCAACCCTTGGCAAATGATGATTCTGGTTAAAAAAAACACATCAATTTTTAACCTGCTTTTTATAAAGCATAAGGAATAGATTCTGCTGTGAACGAAATTCACTTTTCTTTCCTAGTATTTTATATGGTACGATTTTGATTTACAGGATGTGCAACTCTAATATCTGGCAATAAATCAGTGTTGTTTCTTGTGCACCTTGCAGAAATGGATTCTGAAGCAGTTACAAAATACTCGAAACTGCATGCTAAGCTTCTGGGACTTTTCCTCCAATATGGAACGGCTGGATTCCGTTGCAAGGCAGAAAACCTCAACCACGTCATGTTTCGTATGGGACTGCTGGCTGTCCTGAGGTCCAAGAAGACCAAATCCACTATTGGTGTGATGGTTACAGCCTCTCATAACCCTGAAGTAAGAAACTGAGCATTGCAGAGGAGGAAAGAGCTCTGGTTCTAAAATTATTTGGGCCTTGAAAACAATGTCTACTGTTATCTCTGTTTAGTTCAGATGCCTAGTTTAAACTGGAACATATTTTTTAAATTAGCATAATTTTAGAATACAGGTAATTCTTGATTTATGGTCGGTTGTTTAACTGCCATTTGAAGTTACAAAGACCTCAGAAAATGGGATTGTGACTCATATGAAGCATCATTATAAAATGTCATGTCTTCCTGGTCACATGATGGCTGCGTTTTAGGTATTGAACACAATTCAATCCTGAGTGACAAATATTCTGTTGGTGCGTTTTGGGTGCTTGAGAGTTGACTCAAATTTACAACTGGGTGTATCATCCTGCGTATCATCACATGATTGCCATTTATGACTTTTTTGCAGATTTCTGGGACCCCTTTAGGAGAATGGATTCACTGAATGACTTTGTGCTTCTCTTAACAAATGTGTGGTTTTGATTTATGACTGTTTCTTAATGACCACTGTAAAAGCAGTAAAAAAAATTGGGTCTAGTCATTTGGGGGCCTCGGCTTATGCTCACAATGACCTATGGCTGAAATTCTGCTCCAAATTGTGGTTGTAAGTGGAGAACTACTTGTAGTGTTAAGTGTAAACTACGTGTTAAATCTGATTGATTCATTATTTAGGTATAAATTGCACTTCCTGAAACTTTTTCATAATGCGCTCTGTCTTCTTTGTTCAATTATTTGTAACACAAACATATGCATGTGTACTTTGAAATAAGTCTCACTGAGTCCAGTTGTGCAATATAAGCACAAATAGGAGTGCCACCTCTGACTTTTCAGTAAGATTAAATCATTTTACCTTTTTTGACATTCTTTTTGAAAAAAGTCTTACAAGTTTTGGTATGACTGATTTAATTCATGTTTTTGTTTTATTTATTTATTATACAAGGAGTTAACACTTCAAAACAGTTTTCCTTGGGCAATTTACAACACTTATAAAGGTGTGAAAAACCTTTCAGACATGAAACCATTTTAAAATCAAAGGAGTCCACTGTGTTTTAAGCTTGAAGCAAATGTTTAGAGTTCCAAACCCTTCGAATTTGAAACTTTACACACTTTTAATATATTTCTTTGCTTCAGAGAAACTAAATCTTTTTTCTATACATGCCATCGATTTTCATAGTGATCATTTTCTGCCTTCCCCTAGGAAGACAATGGTGTGAAACTGATCGATCCTTCGGGAGAAATGTTGGCCCCTACTTGGGAAGAACATGCCACATTCTTGGCAAATGCAGAAGAGCCCCAGTTACATTGTGTCCTGACTGAGATCTGCCAAAAGGAGGCTGTGGACCTTCAGAACAAGGCCTTCATTGTGATTGGTAGAGACACCCGGTAGGCCAGAAAGCCGATACATGTCTTGTAGGTCAAAGGGCAATAGATATGTTCTTCAGGCTGTTCATTGGAATCAAATGAATTCATAAGAAAGATTCATTTGGAAATTTTGATACTCGTGATTTTGGGGTTGCCAAAAGTGTTGGAAGGCCAACACTGGTTACTAAGGCTGGTTACTAACGCAGACTAAATACATCTATCTCCTTCAACTTTACTTCCACACTACAGTGAGAATAGTGTGGTACAGACCTATAATAGCCTGCATTCATCCATGGTTTCCTGATGGCTGTTTATTCATCTATTTTGTGCTGATTTTACTTATACAGATAAATGTATAGTTTAATTCCTCATAGGAAGCATTCCCAGAGGAGGGGGATGTGGCTGTAGGCATTGGGACGACATTAAAGGGGAATCTTAAAAAATAGAAGAACTGGAGGGGAGCTTGGGGAAAAGAAATTGAGGTAATATAATAACCTGGTAGCTAAGATGGGCTGAGACAATTCTGTCTGTTGAAGATTTTTGGTTTTAACAACAACAACAGGCTGGAAAAGCTGAGGTGGATTGGGGAAGATTTAGAAAACCCAAAGCTTCTTGGTTTGCGGGCAACCTCAGAGAAGATTGCTGATGAAATCCTGGGTAGACTACTGAAGATCTGGGGAGTGGGATCACTCATGGGGCATGGTCTACCTTGCACAACCTCCTTCCTCTTCCCCCATGGGACATGGCCTATGACGGTGGTCCCCAACCTTTTTTGTGCCACGGCCTGGTACCGGCATCACAAAATCATCCACGGCCCGGTACCGGCATCAGCACGCATGGCAAGGCGAGCCGAGTGACCGGCCAGCCAGCCCTCCCCCGCTTCTCCCTGTCACCTTCAACTCCTCCTTTGTACCTGTGTCGATGGGCTTCACGACAGCTTCGGGACGGTCACTCGGCTCACCATGCCATGCATGCTGAAAGAATCCTCATGCCTTAGTTTTGTTTGAAGCCGCCCCCCCCCCCGATGAAACTGAGGCGCGAGGATTCTTTCAGCACCCAAATGCCGCTTTCTACCCGGAAAAGCTCACCGGAAGCACTTTTTCATCAAAACAAGATGGCAGCGCCCAGCAAACCGGCGGCCCGGTAGAAATTGTTCCACGGACCGGTACCGGTCCCCGGACCGGTGGTTGGGGACCCCTGGCCTATGAGACATGGTCTACTTTGCACAGCCTACCCTGCCTCCATCCCCATGGGACATGAACCAGTTCCTCCTTTCCTCAGCTGTATTGCATTTTTTCTGTTATCCAGCTCAGCATTGGCTTTAACCCACTCTGAGCAATGGCACCTGAGACTATAGAACTGTTGCCAGATCCAGTGAAGGCAGTCACTCTTTACTAGCCCACATAAGTCACCCCAAGTTCTATAAAGAAGAAAGATGGGAAGCAGGTGCATAAAATATAACAGGTAATAAATAGATGCCATGTGAATCGTTGGGAACACTGCGGGAAATGCCAATGGCATTTTTGGGTGGATCCTACCGGTAATAAAAAAAAAACCTACCTAAAACTCTTTTGAGTTGCTTAGCTGCTGCCATTCCTTTCCTTTGTAGGAAGAAATCTTTCATTTGACTAGTATTTGTGTTTTAGCTTGTATTTTGGTATAGTATTTTTAACAAAGTGTTTGTTTCTATGTTCTGCCTGCAGGCCAAGCAGCAAGGAGCTTTCACAAGCAGCAATTGACGGGGTATCTGTCCTTGGAGGTCAATATAAGGGTATGTTTGCTCTTTGATCACCAATTTGGTTACTTATCTTCATGCTGAGACTTCTCCTATTTGGTTCATGTAGGATTAAGGAAACTATTTGGGAAGTCTGGAACTTGGGGACAGAATGATGCTTTGTATGCAGGAGGTCTCTGACTCCATTTTTGAAATCTCCAGATAGAGTTGGAAAAGACTCTTAATTGAAACCCTGGAGAACCATTTGGACTTGTAAATAAAACAGGCCTCGCTTAACCAGCAGCCTGGCTCAGTGCAAGCCAGGAATGGAACTTCTAGCACTGCAAATGTGCTAATTGCAACTTTCAGCATTCCTTAGAATTGATTTTTGGATGGACTGTTGGGAATTGTAGTTCCACAAAATCTGGTTTGTTACACTTCCCTTTTCTGGTAAAGGGCTTTAGTTAAGTATAGGTAAATGAGGAGACCTGGTAGTGCAGTGGTTAGAATGCAGTACTGCAGGCTGACTCTGCCCACACAGCAGGAGTTCGATTCTGACTGGCTCAAGGTTGATTCAGCCTTCCATCTTTCCAAGATC